GTCAATTACTATCGCGGAATAAAATATTTCCCCCAAAAGAGAGGTTACATGAGCATATGTATGCCCAACTTGCTTTTCAGGAACTTCTGTTTTAGTTTCTTTTCAAGAAATGTATTCCGATACCCCAGTACTAGCCCAGTAAGTCAGTCACTACGACAGAGCGTCGTGATACATTTACATCAAGCTCAAGACGTCAAAATGCTCGACACGATAAACGTGACGGGAGAGATTTCCGATGTTGGTTATGAACCTGTGGCCATTTCAAGCGCTAGTCATGACTGATCAATTGGTCGAATATTGAAAGGTGATTGTAACGATGTGTCAGTTAGATACTAAGGTACATTCATAGATTGCTGTAGACTGTCACAGCGATAGTTCGGATGTGCTTTTCTTCGTTTTGTTTTCTCCGACGTATCCAAATGTATGCTAACGCGCAAAGTTCAAAATTAAATGGTCTAAATTTCAAGAAACGACGTATGTAATTCGTGCCAGGGAATTCCGTCAATTTTCCGCTTGAAAAAACCTCGACGCTTTTCCGGACACTTTCTGGACACTCTCCAATTAATCAATTTTAATGAATTTTTAGTGGTTTTCCTTTCAATGATCATATACGAAAAAACACGTTTTCGTGTTTTCAGCATCAACCAAGTCAGCGAGCCTGACCACTCAATCCCGTTAGTCGTCTCTTACGACAAGCATAGTCGCCTTTTTACGGAAAGCACGCGTTGCTGAAAACATATTCTATCTCGGATCTTCACGGATCGGGTTGGAATATTGCTGAGTGCGGTGTTAAACAAAAAACAAACGAACAAATATAGCTGTAAAGAGCTACAAAAGCTGTATCGACCTATCTGATATCGGGGATCTTGTCACATAATTTCCTTTCAAAAAGAAAATGACACAAAGTCGCATTTATAAAAATATTTTATCATTATGTTGATTACAAAAGAAATCAAATAAATTAATAACATCGATAAAAGTAAACTTATATATATTCTATTATTGGTATGTGTTCCTGTGTTACCATGCCAGGGAGAATATTAATTCTACAAAACCCCAAATCTAATCAAATATCGCATTTTCAATTGTCGTTTTCTTAATGCAAATGGAATCTATTTATTTGTAGACGGCTGCGGTATATTCAAACATAAACCTCCTACTATAATTGCTACTTTTTATTAATCTAAAAAAATCTGAAACTCTAAGTGATTTCTAATTTGGTTATTTATTCGTGTTCAAGTCTTTATTGGAAGCCGCCGTGATTCATGAAAACATTGAGCAACCCGCAGTTTTGCAGGGAAAATGATTGATCACTGCTGCATTGACACGTCTATGAGCACTTAGTCAGACGTATTAAACTCCCTCGGACACAACTGACAACATGTGAATAAGGCTGTTTGTGATAGCATCGATAGCATACTGTGAGCACGTGGCTGATTGTACAATTCTCAGGAAAAATATGTTCATCAATTGCGACACAATATCCTTTGGGGTAAACTATATTTAAACAAACAAACAAACAAACGAATGTCCTCCATCTGTTTCTACATTTTCAGGAAAAATACATAAACAGTAAACCATGTAATCACAATAACTAGAATAAATACATTAGTCACAGATTACATTTTACAAACTGTAAAGGAATGAGTGGTAGCTAAATAGACACAATCAAATTTAACAAAAGTTCTTAATTACATAATAACTCGGTATACTTTATTTTGCCCCTCAGTTTATATACAAACTCCCTCATTGTCGCATTTATCCATTCAACAGTGGGACAATTGTCAAAAGAAGCAGCTTCATTCACCACCACTGCTTCAGACAGCAATACATACTGCCAAGAATTCCAGTGAGAGAACCATAACCTTCGGTTTCGTGAACACAAAATACATCATCAAACCAGATAAATGCGCCTTGCCTCTAACTAACTAAAGGAGCAAATTAAACGCATTTGGCGCTTATGACATCACTTGTTTCCAAATATCGTGACATAATTTCCGTCTTGGGTAAGCACAATCTTAAATGAAAGATTGCTATGCCTCCAGAAATCTGAAATGAATGGTGTACACACTTCTGTTTGAATGGTATCACTTCGGTTTGGGGACACGTATGCACAGTGCAGCAAACGTTTAAATCAGCAATTCCATGCAGCCGCCTTCATAAGAAGGTTTCCACATGATGTATGCAGACTGACTTTAAAATAGTCCCACGCCTTCATTAGTCTGTTTATTTGTTGTTTAACTACGCACTCAGTAGTATTCAAGCTCCATGACGGCGGTATGTTAATAATCGACTCTGGACCTGACAATCAAGTAATTGATATCATGAGCATCGATCTACACAATTGGGATACGATGACATGTAACAACCAAGTCGGCGAGCCTGACCATCCGATCCTATTAGTCGCCTCTTACGACAAGCTTAGTCGCCTTTTACAGCAAGTATGGGTTGCTGAAGACCTAACCTAACCCGGATCTTCACGTGAAGCCTTAAGAATGAAACATGTAATTTCGATTTGGGAAACGCATGTATGTTGGTTTCATTTTTATTTGAAAGTGATTCATAAACATATACTTATGATGTCGGGATCGTACTAAGAGCAAAGCAGGTTTCTTTTGATTATGAATATGGTTTTGTCTTTTGTACTTATAAGTCTTATGCCTCCCACTACGGTACGAAGAAATGTACATGCACCTCCGATTGACTCACTTCCTTTGGTTGTTGTTGTTGTTGGTTTCGTTGTTTAACGCCGCACTGAGCAATATTCCAGCTATGTGACGGCGGTCTGTAAATAATCGAGTCTGGAACAGACAATCCAGTGATCGATATCATGAGCATCGATCCACGCAATTGGGATCGATGACGTGCATCAAACCAAGTCAGCGAGCCTGACCACCCGATCCCGTTAGTCGCCTTTTACGACAAGCATGGGTTGCTGAAGACCTATTCTACCCCGGAATCTTCACGGGTCCACTTCCTTTGGTAAACATACATGACACATATATTAGTACAGACTGTACCATACTTCTGCCTATGTTAAGAAGAAAATTATATGCACTACATGTTAAAAATTGATTACATCTAGTTAAAACAGGGGAAGTAGCTCTTAAAAATTGTTACTTACAGAGGTGTTGATACAGTAAAGCCGAACTACAACACGAATGACCATTGTGATCTTCACTTTCTCTGGAAGCCACTTCCTTAAGAAGATTTTGTACCAAACAGTATTCTAGCATTTTGTGAGTTGAACATTATACATTTGTTTCGGTGTATAGCCTTGAGAGTGAATCTGACCTTCAATATCAAGGGTCATCTGGTAAAAGCACAAGAATGAACAAATATCTGCATAATACGTCATTTTAGAGAAAACGGTCAACATAATTAATAAATGATCTTGATTGTGGCCTTGACAGTATGCGTAGGTCACTCATGACATTGCCAAGCCTAGGGCAAAAGGAAGTGTACAAGATTCCATTTATTACCATTACACCCTTCTCGAGTAAGACAGTAAACAAACTTTTTTTTCAGACTGTGACTTTGAGGATGACCTTGACCTTTGTCATGACAGATCAATGTGTCAAAAGATGACACTGCAGTCAGCGGTGGCAAAATTCTGACAAAGCCTTAAAGCTTTTCCGATTATATGGGTCTGCCTAATGAACATGTTGTTAGTGTGAGACTGAATATAAGGAGTTTTTTGTTTGTTTGTTTGATTGTTGTTTTACGCCGCACTAAGCAATATTCCACTATATGACGGCGGTCTGTAAATAATCGAGTCTGGACCAGACAGTCCAGTGAATGACATCAAGAGCATCGATCCACGCAATTGGGAACGATGACATGCATCAACGAAGTCAGCGAGCCTGACCACCCGATCCCGTTAGTCGCCTTTTACGACAAGCATATGGTCGCCTTTTACGGCAAGCATGGGTTGCTGAAGACCTATTCTAACCCGGATCTTCACGGGTCGAGTTTTGTTTTTAAAAATGGAAAAGGAGTGGTCTATGGCTAGGTTGTAGTAGCATACACAAGGATGTCCTTTACACCTAGATTTGTAATTATTATGGCATGCAACTGGCAAAGTCCCAACAATCAAAGCATCAAACAATATATCCAATAATAGTGTAACATTAGTTGAGCCGTCAACGAAAAGTACTCACTGTACACATATAAATCTCATATCTCCTGACAATAAGTCTTTTGGCAGAAAATAATCATTCACCATTTTTGTGGTATATATTATGTGGGCTTAATTCTACATCCCGTGGTTATGTCCTTTACCATTATATCCCATGCTTCAACGGTGTTATTCGGCTATGCTACCTCAGTAAGACCAACACTTTCACGATCTGAATATAATTATTCCATTGCGTTAATCAAACATATTTTTTTTTCATTTACACAAATATTTGCTTGAAGTACATCACCAAGAACCTCCCCATGGATTGCCTTAGATGTATAACGAATCATCAGTGCCAACTTGTACAATGTGCTGATTGTGAAAAGACTATCATAACATATACTCAACAATAAAAGTTCCTGTGACACTAATATTTTAGTGTATTTTTCAAACAAGTAAAGTTTGGTTTTCAATATTGTAGTACATGTATGGAATCAAGTCACAAAAACGCAACTGCTACAGAAAAGCATGCAATCCATGCAAAAGTCGACTTTTATGGAAACCCCATCCATTTCACTACCCAAGAATGGGTATAAAAACATGTGCGTTAACGGGATTCCATACGCTTTGTTTAGCATCGTGCTGACAACAACCACTCAGAAAAAACAACACAATTACGCAATTATTCGACATTACGAAATGCCACGCCTGTCCGAAAATGAGCGTCTCCGAGCCATTGGTATGCTTGAAGCAGGATCGAGTCAACGTGATGTTGCAAGACAATTTAACGTCCACAGAAACCCCCTTTGGTGTTTATGGCAACGTTGGCAACATACGAATGCAGTCAGAGACCATCCTCGGAGTGGCAGGCCACGCGTAACCAATAATCGACAAGACAACTGGATTCGAACAACACACCTACAAAATCGATTCCAGCCAGCAACAGTGACTGCAAGAAGCATCCCTAATAAATTACCTGTCTCAGCGCTAAGATAGCTTTAAGGCAAACCTGTGCACAGTACTTGATTCAACAGGCGCTAATTACGATGTTCACAACAACGCTTGGTAAATAAGAGATTTCTTTTTCTCAGTCATGGTGATGTCCTCGCCGCTGACCAGTTTCATCCTTACACTGTAGAAATCCGACTCCGGCAGCACACTTAAAACTGGGAAGAGAGCCTCTCTGAACTCGACATCAAACTTGGCAAGAACAACCTCCCTGTCCAAATCAATAAATGCGAGTCTCTTTCTGTTCACATCCAGAACAATACCATAGTGGAGGGTGGCCTGGTTGCCTGTTGTGTCAGACATTGTTCTAACCCAGCAATTACCATCTTCCCACTCCTTATGCACCCGGGTACAGATCTTTCCTCGGTGTCTATCACAGCTCCTGACACCAACACACCAAGAGCGGAGCTGATGACAAAGCCATGACTCACTATCCACTTTGCCTGATTCTGCAAGCCCCATCTCCAGAATCGGCTTACTCCAGACTCCCCTGCCTACACCCACGTTTGAGCATGTCTCCCAGTATTGAGTTATGCTCTGGAATGGGGTTTGTTTTGGAGGGATTGGGAAAGGTGTGGAGATACAGATGCCATTAAACTTGTTTAGCCTTAGTCTTCTTCCATGTCCGGAGGCGCGTGGAGAGTTGACCAGCTCAGCGCCTTTAGTTACATGGCACTTGTTTGTGTTGGTTCGAGCATCATTCAGATAAAGTGCAGGACCTGGAATCAAAGTATCTGTACATCATAACCGTTAAAATGTGCCTTCATATTTTCAACTAATATAAGTAGCTAATCACTACCATGGTAATGATACTACTACTACTACGACGGCGTAGTAGTTGTAGCAGTAGTAGTAGTGTCACTATTCCCGCTACATCAAATATACAATAACAGCAGAAAACTGAAGTCGATATCCTAGCTTTTCCATATTGATATAGATCATAAACATCAATGTTTGTACAAGGTTTAAGTCTGACTTCCATTCATAACTTACACAAGTACTTGCTTACACCACAAAACGCTTAAATTCAATGGAAGATCACAGATAAGAAATTATGCCTGAATGTCATATCTGAACGCAACGTACTTCATCGTATTACAGGGGCGGTCGGGTAGCCAAGTGGTTAAAGCGTTCGCCCGTCACGCCTAAGACCCGGGTTCGATTCCCGACATGAGTACAATGTGTGAAGCCCATTTCTGGTGTCCCCCGCCGTGATATTGCTGGAATATAGCTAAAAGCGGCGTAAAACCGTTACTCACTCACTCACTCATCGTATTACATGAGGAAACAGGATCATCATAAACAATACATTTTCTATCAAATATTCAAAGTACAGGTGTACATTTCTTGTCGTTTTGTTGACATATCACAATATATAACTTATGTTTACTTCAAATGACACCTTCAGTACAAACATTTAACATTTTGTGAATACTTTGGTAAATCACATCAATCAGAAACGACATTTAAAAACTACTCACAGATAAACAATCTGAAATTGGTTGATCCTATTGAATATATCCTGTCGGGAGCCACTGAAATGATATTGAATACAGTTGACATTTCTATTCACCATTTGGTAAATTATTTTTCCTACATTTATGCTTCTTTCAGACATCCTTTTAAAAGGTAGGGTCACAATACAAGACTGGAATGCCTGCAAGACAAACTTTTTGTGTGTCTCCGATCTACAGTTCATACTGATGCTACCTTAAGATATTATCTCTGGCACTACAGGGTTTGTATGATACAGTTACATTCTTAATTTACTGCTACTCGGAAGGAGATATTAGATTTCGCCTACCAATTGTTTTCACCTTGTTCCATCTCTGTTTTTGTGATGAAATCAACTGCAGAGTAAAATAAAGGATGAGAGAATGAATGTCCAATGAATAAAATGATCTGTCTCAAAACATAAAATAAGAATATTGAAATGATGAAACAACACAACTTCGTAATTTTGATTCATTAATACCATTGCTTTGATTAATGTTTTTTTATACAATAGAAATATATAGCATGTATACATGTGTTTACAGGTTTCTCAACAGTGTGGTCCCGCACAAGTTAAAGGGCAGTTTTAATATATATAAAATACTAATATCCCATCGACCTCATCCTTTGCTTCGAGCATTCCTCTCAGTTCAGTGATTTCCTCTGACTGCATATTTCTTTCCATTTGGAGAACTAACAACACAAAATAGACATATGCTAAAAAACGTTTGGATTGGTAATATATAGGAAATATGTCAAATCAGGAAATATGGGAAATCCTTGAAATTTAATATAGTAAAATATATATTTAATATAATCCCAACATTTTTGTGTGAAATATTGTGTATGCACAAAGGAGTTTTGACAAGGACAAATGACCGGACTCTACATATTTTTCTAGATGTAATGGTTATACACCTGAAGAAATCACTTGTTTATATGTATCGCCTTTATATACATATACATACATATACATATGCATATATCACAATGCAGCTGTCAGTGTAAATACATCTTAAATGTATCTTAAGGAATGTCTTAAATATGTCCCCTATAAGCAAATAATGTTTCTTTAAAATTAAATAGAAATGTATACCTCCAATAGTAGCCTGTGCATCTGTTAAAGATGTATCAGCAAGGCACGTGACCTGGGTCCCGAATGTGTCTATAAGTTCTTCTAGGGCCTTCTTTCCTTGAAAGTAGAGCTGAAAGTCCGGGGGAGGTATTCCGCCATAAGAGATTTCTGATGACTTCAGGTTTTCTCCCATTTTCCACTGCAATGTATCACTGAGGGCAATGAGTTCCTCTTGTCTTGATGACCTCAGTGCCCTTTCGGTGTAGTCTATTGTTGATTCTAAAGAAGCCTCCGCAGATTGCAGTTGTATTGTCTTTTCTTGAAGCGTAGAAAGTGGGTCTTTAAGATTTTCGGTGATTTCTTGCAAAAGGTGAGTATGTCTTCTTTGGAGCCTTTCAGCAACAGACTCATACACCGAGAGAGCTTCAGCTTCACGTTTATCCCTTGTTTCAGTTAACATATTACAATCAGAGGTGACTGTTTTCAATTTGTCTTTGATATCTTTGAGTTTTAACTTTTGCTTCTCCAGGTGATCACCTAGCATTGTCCTAGTCTCATCATAAAGACACTTCAGGTCATCCTTTCTGTGATTCTTGTGGGCCCCATACAAACAAACAACGCAAATAGGTTTCCTACAACTGTGATCATACAACTGCACTTCAGTGTCAGAGTGGTCTGTACAAAATGACTCGCCTAGCCAGTTTTTAATGGGGCGATCTTCTGTTGAATTCATATTTCGGATTCGGTGCTTGCTATTACATCTGATGGTGTTGTGTAGGGTGAAACATTTTGAACAGAGATAGCCATGACAGTCATGGCAGTAGACTTTGGCAGGATCATCATGATCTCCTGAAAGGAACCCACACTTCTTTTCTCCCACATTGCTCGCAACATAGGCAGCTTCGTTCATTCTGACATGATCAGGTGATATCTTCTCCAAGTCAAATGCTTGACCACATGGGCAATTGAGAACAGAGCTTCTTTCTTGTGCTGTTTGGTCAATGCATGGTTTGCAGGCAGTATGGAGACAGGGCAGAAGAAAGAGTAGAGTTTCATCACATGTAGTCATTGAAAGATGGCATGGTCCTCGTCCTGAAAAGAAGAACAAATCAATTCATGTTCGTGTGTTATCTTGTTTGCTTTCTTGTGCTATCACTTTACCACAGCTGTATATGGAGTGATAGCTATGGCTATCTTCCTAAAGTAAAACTTTTTTTTGGGATACATGTCTCCAGATAAGGACTGTATAGACAAATGCAAATGTGCGATATATGATGTGTGAATTAAGGAAAGTACCTGATGTCTGTGTATGGCCAAAGCTTTATATAAATGTTACTTTAATATTTTGAGCAATATTCCCCTCAACCTCATAAACATCATCATGATCATACGTGCTCACTGCTGCTACACAAACTTCAGTATATCTTATAAAGAGTAACCAATAATATTTCTATTTAAGAAAACCAGACATTCAGCCATTGCCTGTTGGCAAAAATGTATGAGCTAAATGAACTCTTAGCAGCTTTTCCAAAATGGAGCAACTGAGAGAGCACTGGTGAGCGGATTTAATTTCTTTGGATGGGAAATTATGGATGGATTAAGTATGGGAAATTTACTCCAAGTCTGATACATGTTTCTGATTGAAATATCTATAAGCATATATTTAATATCAAGTTTGACCTATTAAGGTCCCCTGACACTTACTATGGTAATCTTCCAAAGGGTATTTCATGCTAACCTATTTCTGATGGACACACAAGATTGATTGCACACCTAAATCTGTTCTCCAGCAAGATTGGTGGGAGGGGGGTTATCATGTGCTTATTGGGGATGTTTGATGGGATAATAAATAGGGTGATATGTCAATTATATTTTTTTAATTGACATAAGAAACTGATTCCGGACCTACCATGCAATATTGGGATGGGTTATGTTATTTGCATATAATTACACATAATTCAATTTACTTATTTACACATATTATAAACTCAACTGTTTACTTACTGATAATTTTAGGGTGAGGCCTTCTGCTTTTAGCTCCTACATTTGGAAAAAGGCCCACATTTTCAAATACAAAGCCTGCAGCTGGGGTCTTTAAAGCCACGCGCAAACTAATTTGAAGCCAGGCCAATATTCGGGGTATATGTTTCGACTGAGTTTTAAAACTGGTATTGAGAATATATGTTTCACACCCGCCTTGTTGCAGGTAGTAACACTGTTTTCCTGTAAACATTAATACATTAATAATAAAGTTTATTATTCTATTCTGCTCTTGGTGTTTAATTATAAGTATAAACTACACATGTATTAGGATAAATAAAAAACAGTACTGTAACTAGTGTAAGCATTCAATTGTTTTGTACAGCTAGAAGTATGCATATCACTTACAGTTGTTTTTTAAAGTATTAACCATGATCCAAAATTATTATCTTTTTAAAAATTCAGTAAGTTTTAGTTTTTTCTTTTATCGGTGAAACTTTGTGCTGTTGTAGCTTTGGAAGTGTTTAGCTTTATGTACCCTTTACTTGGACAAGTTCTGTTGTGGCATCATTTACATGAAATATTAAGACGAGATGTTGTCAGCCTATTTAAGAAAATGCCAGATGAAAAAAAAAACGAAGTGTTAAAAATTAATGTTTGAATGTTTTTGACTATTTTAGAAGATATCGATAATTCTAAATGATTATTACAAATTGTTAGCCATTTGTTGCACACATGTATTTTTTGAAAAAAATCAAGAACTGCCATTAAATATTATGAAAGGTAAAAATGCTGAACATTCCAGCTGCCATTGTAAATGAGCAAAGAAAAGTAAAGGTGATGAAGTCTGAATGACTAATGCTTGGATGGTGATGGGGCTTGAGAGGTTGGACAAGGCTGATTCTAAACCTATTATTACTGTCAGGCCAATGTCAACCCAATGCTGCCCCGATAATTATTGTCGACGTTGGGCCGATGTCCATCTGATGAGCAAAACTTCATTGGCCCGACGATGTTTGCCAACCCTGGGCCGATGCTAGGCCGGTGCAGTGTCGGTGCACGGCCGACGTTGGGCCGATGTCGATCTGATGAGCACAACTCCATCGGCCTGATGAAATTTGCCGATGTTGGGCTGATGATGTAACGGGATTGGGTTTGAAAATATAGTTTCAGAAGCACACTTGTGTAATAGTGTTGACGATGGACGTCATATGTATGCATGTCTCTATTACCTCTTTCCGGGTTCTGTTGCTCAATTTCCGTTGTTTCAGAAGGCAGAGGTTTTGCCTTTTCCATGATTGCTTCCATTGATTCCAATGTTTCCCTTTTCTCCAGCAGTCCCTGACAATTAACAAGTATTATGTCAACATTTTTGTTATCAATTATATTCCCTAAAAAAAACGGATATTGATATACATACTGTAAATCTTGAAATTAATGCGTCTCCAAATAAATACGATTGCTGACCCCAGTGCGAGTGCGGCCTGAACCATGAAAAGGGTACATTTGGGACGAAATAAAAAATGTCACTGTTGGGAAAAGATGAATACAAAAATAACCGAATAATCACCCAAGCGTAAGAATAAAGAAAAAAGTATCCTCTCATGATAACCACGGAATCAGCGCAAGTTCTTTCACTTGTGAGTGTGTGAGCCTACATTTTGCTTTCATACGACCTCTATCACACAACCCTTTCACTTGAGGTTAAATCGTTCATTTCTCTAACAAGGGCAATATATCGATACATTCACAGCAACATTTATCTGGAATACAAATCTAATGCTGTCTCAGCCAATAAAGTAAAACTTTGGTCTTACCCGCAAGTATCCTTTTCTCGCTTGTATTGACTACCACCATAACAGTTGAGAGCAAAGTGCAAGGGGCGTATATGTAATCATGCTGCATTATCACGTGTTAGATCAGGTGCACCATATCGTGCAGTATGGTTGTATTGCTACATATACATTTATGTTGATATGTTGATCAAACACCGGTTTAGGGGCAAGACTTCTAACCCTAAGTTAATTAATGTGTGGCACCACTGATTACAAATCTAGTGATCTATGTATCACTCGTACATACCTACACGATGCAAAGTGATTTTTGTGACAGTTTTGGTCCACTTTATCTATTGATTTGTAGAACTTGATAATACTTGTTTCGGGTTATTTATGTTTGCTAAAATGTAATACATAAGATTAGTTAAAACTATTAGGAATACATACTTTAAGAAGAATCTAATAGATGTGTAAACGAGCGGACCCATTTCTAAAAAAAACAGATGCAGGGTTTATCATCAGCTGTGTAAGTGCATTTTTTTCCACATCACTTGACTGCATTACCTATAATAGTATCTTACCTGAGATAATATCGTCATGGTCATAGCGTGCTGTACAGGGAGTTTTACAATTGCTGACATAATCTTTAACATGCATACTTATTTCATTATGCGTTTGATCGGAATGCATTTACTAGACATCTCATCTCCTTGCACCGTCGAATACAAAAGATGATAAATAAAGTACTTGAAATTATGTTCTTGCACTTATATAAAACTGACGAAATTTACCTTACCTGGGTGGCATTTCGAAGTTGGAAGCAAGTGATAACACTGTTAGAATTCAAACTGAAATGTCACAACAATTGCATCACAAACATTGTATCTATCATCCCTACTATCTTTTTGTTATTATTAGTAATGTGATGTTATCTCAGTGACACTGTATTTTTGAGCCACTAACGTTCTTGTCGGCAGATTATCAGTGAGATACTCTACATTCAAGCAATCCTGAATTAATGACAGGAACTGGCCTCTAAAGTGGATATCATCAGATGTACTTGTAGTTGAAAGACGAAGTGAAGTGTTGTGGCATATAATGGGCCCCATGATATTTTAGGAAGTATATGAATGACCTAAAGACTGCTATTACTGTTTGTCTGAGTATAATACTCTAGATTACCTTAAGTAAAGATTGTGTTTAAAACGTTTTCTGTGTTCCATTTTCTATCATGGCATACCCTCATTTTATATGGGAGTGTAAAGGGAAGACTTGTCAGAATATTCTCATGATCCGAGAGTGTACATGTACCTACAAATATTAAGATTTTTGTCTTTGTGGCAGATGGCCTATTGCATTTTGGCAAACATACAAGTATGCACTTCGGACATTATCAGACAGGGAAACTTATACCTGCTGAGATCATGTCAAAATACTGTCAGTCTGACCTGCCCTCAGTTAACATTGCCTGAATCCTATGAATTTTAAACGAGGGCAAAGGCAATATACATTCGTTATTCTTCAATTAAAAATATTTGATTTCATTGGTTCATCCACATCATGTGACAAAACAATAAATTTCAATGCTGACATAATAGAAAATCCCCAAAAAATAAGGGGAACTGATGATAGTGAAGGGGAAATTCCGATAAATGTCTGTAAAATATATATCTGGTGTGACACGACACCTTTAACAACAATCCAAACATGTCCGTCATGTGGGATACCGCCGCCATACCAATCATAGTCAAGAATTATTGCCCTGCAGGCATACCGCTCGCCGCTACGTCGCAACAACGTTTTCTGCCATCTGTGAAACGGGGGCAAAGCTTTGAATCGTCTGTAAACACGGCGTAACGCCATTGCGCCACAGCCTGTCCCTGGGGACACACCAGATATTGATCTACACGTCCGGGATGACATTTATCATCATAAAACCTTCACTATAATTTAATTAGTTCCCCTATATTTGTGGGCAGTATTTTTGAGTGAATGGTTGTTTTTTACACATAGAACAGTTTCAATAATTGTATATTTTTTTGGGGTGCAAGTAACCATACATATTTCAATATTAGTATGCACACTTATGTCATAACAACAATCAGATTGATGGATCAACGTGGATCTGAGAACATGCTCGATGATGCTGTGTCAATTTCTCCTGGGTGGGGGGCACGGTAGGCCCAGTCGTCTAAGGCGCCCCGATTCGCTGTGCAGAGTTGCGTCCCTTGAGCACGCCAGAAACCTATGATTGTGGGTTCGAATCCCGGTTCGCTCCGATTATGTTTCTAGGTTTGTCAGCAGCTTACCCGTGCTCGTGGTAAACGTCTGAGACCTGCATCCCTTCGGACTCTCCACCAACATCAAGCTGACACGCTTATATAACTGGAATACCGTTAAAAGTGTCGTTAAACCCAACTCACTCACTCACGCTCCTGTGTGTTTCATTATTTGTCGTTCATTTAGACGAAGACCAAGTATATGTAAGCTCTCACTTCGTCCCTCACTGTTGACATTTGTAGATTTATTCTCCATGACTTCATATCCAGGTGAGCTACAGTGACATTTGTAACTCGTATGACGCGTTGCGTTGGAAGCAAACTGTCTATGGATATGCAGTTGTATTGCAAATGACAGGTTTATATATTCCCGAATGAATTAAATTTGTAAGTTCCGATCAATGGCGAGGTACTGTCAACACTTTGTCACCAGGTTCAGATAGAACGTGATTAGGAGTTATTCTATTCATGACCAACATGTTTTTTCCTGAAAATAAATTCACCTATACCTGTGCTCATATATGACAAAATATCAAAGCCCAAAATAGACATAGCCATAGCAAGTATCGTCTCAATTTAACCGTTACGTAGCAAACTGCTTGATTGGCATTCTAGAAAATGATGAATAAATAAGAAAACAAACAACTTCTAGTTTATTGCATTTAACGACAGCAACCACTTTTTGGCATTCGGTCGTCTGAGGAGGGTATTTGTATTCCCAAGAAGGAGCAGCAATTCGGTTGTCGGACGTCCTGAACATGCATCCTTTAGATTCTCGTGGACACTACAACAGAATGCCACTTCAGTCTTTCAGATGTTCCACTGTGATAAGATAAACATATTAAACCTGATCCAGTTCTTAGTCGTTGCTCGTCTTAGATTGTAACACATACCGTTCAAATGAACTTTAGATGTTTCACTGTAACAATATTAACATATTAAACCTGATCCAGTTCTTCGTAGTTACTCGTCTCAGATTGCAACACATTCCGTTCATATGAATTTCAGATGTTCCACTGTCACAATACTAACATATTGAACCTGATCCAGTTCATAATCTTTAGTCGTCCTTAATCTTTAGTCGTCTTATATTGTAACACATTCCTTATCAATGATTGGTTATGTACAAGATGAGAACAAGAAATAGTCTCATACTCCTAACGGACCCGTGAAGATCCGGGGTAGAATAGGTCTTCAGCAACCCATGCTTGCCGTAAAAGACGCCTATACTTGTCGTAAAAGGCGACTAACGGGATCGGGTGGTCAGGCTCGCTGACTCGGTTGATGCATGTCATCGATCCCAATTGCGTGGATCGTTGCTCGTGATATTAATCACTGGATTGTCTGGTCCAGACTCGATTATTTACAGACCGCCGTCATATAGCTGGAATATTGCGGAGTGCGGCGTTAAACAAAAAACAAACAAATTGTATACAGAAACGTATTAACAATAACTTTCAGAGAAAGATGCATAGTCTTTGCTTTGATAGCCAGATCTACATGCAGACGGAAGATGACCTAAATAACATGTCTGCTGGAACCTACCCACATACGGTTGACCACGGTTACAAGAGGACAATGTTTATGTACTATGAAGACAAATATATATTTGAACTATTTGTGCCTCATTTGTGCCTCACTCAAAACAGCTCTTACTTTCTTACCCTTAATTGATAACTGTGGGGTTTCGGCTTAGCATCGGACCCTAACAACCTATACTGGTCGGAAGAGGTGTTCAAATGAATCGGGTGGTCAGGCTCAGTGACTTAGTTGATTGCATGTCATCATCAGCGGACGGCGTGTATCTTACCGTATTCCATATGTATCGTTGTTCACAATACAATCACTGGGTTGTGTGGTCCAGGCTCGATTTGTTGACGGGCAGTCGTAAAAGAGCTGAAATATCGCTGACTGCGGCCTGCGATAACAGGCACATCAAGTGCAAACGATGACTATCGAGCTGGTCTTCAGAGATTAAATTACCTATTTATCAAATGAGAGTGAGTGAGTATGGTTTTACGCCGCTTTTAGCAATATTCCAGCAATATCACGGCGGGGGACACCAGAAATGGGCTTCACACATTGTACCCATGTCGGGATTCGAACCCGGGTCTTCGGCGTGACGAGCGAACGCTTTAACCACTAGGCTACCCGACCGCCCCTATCAAATGAGAATGAAGAAGGGCATAAAAGACATCATTGAAACAACTTCTTCGTTACACGAAACCATAGACATTAAAGCAGAGATCAAGACATATCCATAGTATATAAGTATATACATACTGTATATACATTCCTGTGGACAGTAATAATTGCCGCCAAATGAACACTTCTATTGTTAAAGTTTGCTCTGTATTATCACCCCCACCCCATCAGGAATAACATAACCCTTATCACTGACAGTTTTTTCTACGTTTGATAGTGTGCAATCAAAAAATGGTTAATTATGTAATTATACTTGCATAACCATTTTCCGCGAGTCCCGCGAGGTGATATTGCTGGAATATTGCTAAAAGCGGCGGACATCCATACGCATTTACTCACTCGTTGTGTTTTTGGCTTCATAAAGCTTCTACTTAAAACAAGCTGTGGCGTGGATATGTCAAAGGCCATCTGTTCCTGTAGTGAAATTGATCATGTGAACTATTTTCTCTTGGAGAAATATCCCCTTTGGAAAATTGTAACCAGGAAAATGTTAACTCGAGAGGGCATTGTGTTCCCCCTCATAACACCCTCATGTCTCAGCCATCCCAATCATTTTTCTAAGGGTTTTGGTCCCGTATAATTTCCCGGTGAAACTGTTCCACCACCATTTAAAT